TGTCAGATATGGGGTTGTTCAGTCTGGAGAAGAAGAGGCTGAGATGAGACCTTCTCACTCTCTACTCCCTGAGAAGTGGTTGGAGCGAGATTGGGTCAGTCACTTCTCTCGGGGAACAAACATTAAGACAAGAGGGAATGGGCTCAAGTTGCAGCAGGAGAAGTCGAGATTGGATATTAGTTATAATTTCTTTACAGAAGGCGTTCTCAGCCACTGGAACGCATTGCCCAGGGCAGTGCTGGAGTCCCCATTCCTGGAGGGATTTAAGAGTTGGACAGACACAGCTCACAGGGACATGATTTAGTCCAGGCCTTCTCAGGCTTTAGTTACTGGTTGGACTCAATAAATGTCTGTTCCAACGTGGGCAATGCTGTGATGTGCCAGATGGAGGGTGAATCCCCACAAGTTCAGCACTTGACTTGACTCTAGAGTTAGAGACTGGAGGATTTCCATGGGCAAAAAAAATATCATCCAAGAGAAGCACCAGACTGGTCCCGGAGTTCCTGCACTGTTGGAATCCAGGAGCTCATTGGCAGAGGAACAGCAGCTACCTGAGCACACCACACCAGCGTCTTGGCCATGGTTGCAGACACTCAATCCCCACGGTCTGGCCCTGCACTCAGAGAGAGCTGACTCAATCCCCGTGCAGTTCACGTTGTTCAGCCAGATGGAATCACTTCCCCGGCCAAAGCGCGCTGACCTCAGGGCTGCGACTGCCACCCCACAGCCCAGCTGCCGGCACACCACCTCAGCATCACGCATGTCCCAGCCGTCGTCGCCCACCGTCCCCCACCGGTGGCTGTGCAGCACCTCCACCCTCCCAGAGCAGCGGCTAGAACCATTCACCAACCGGACATCAGGAGGCTCTGGAATGGAAAGATAAGAGAGGCGTCACTTCACAGTGGTGGTAGACATGCACAAGGAGAAAGCAAGTGTTGGATGTCCCTGAGCCAGCAGTGTGCCCAGGTTTCCAAGAAGGCCAACAGCACCCTGGCCAGCATCAGGAATCGTGTGGCCACCAGGACCCAGGCAGAGATTGTCCCCCTGTACTTCACACAAATGAGGCCACACTTTTGGTTTTGGGCCTCTGATGACAAGGACACTGAGGTGCTGGAATGTGTCCAGAGAAGGACAAGTAAGCTGGGGAAGTCTCTGGAGAACAAGTCTGATGATGATTAGCTGAGGGACCTGGGGTTGTTCAGGCTGGAGAAGAGGAGGGTTAGGGGTGACCTCGCTTTCGAAAACTCCCTGATGGGAGGTTGGAGTGAGGTGGGAGTTGGTCTGTGCAACCAATTAACTACCGATGGGACAAGAGGAAATGGTCTCAAAATGCAGCAGGAGAACTTTAGATTGGATATTAGATAGAATTTCTTTACAGAAGGATTCTCAGGGATTGAAACATGTTGCCTGTGACAGTGGTGGACTCCCCATCCCTGAAGGGACTTAAGAGTCGGGCAGATACAGCACGTAGGAACATGGTTCAATCAGGGATGTGTCAGTGTTTGGTTAACGTAGGGACTTGATGATCTTAAAGGTCTTTTCCAATCTGGGCAATGTTGTGATATGTCGAATGGAGGATGAATCCCCACACGTTCAGCAATAGACTTGACAATAAGAGATTGCAGGATGACGCTATGCAAAGACCATCATCACAGAGAAGAACATAACTAGTCCTAGAAATTCTTGCACTGTTGGAATCCAGGAGCTCATTGGCAGAGGAACAGCAGCTACCTGAGCACACCACACCAGCGTCTTCTTCGTGGTTGCAGTCACTCACTCCCCAGGGTCTAGCCCTGCAGTCAGAGAGCACCAACTCTGTCCCTGTGCAGTTCATGTCATCCAGCCAGATGGAATCATGTCCTCGGCCAAAGTGAGCCGAGCCCGGGGCTGCGACTGCCGCCCCCCAGCCCAGCTGCCGGCACACCACCTCGGCATCACGCATGTCCCAGCCATCGTCACACACTGTCCCCCACTGCTGGTCGTGCAGCACCTCCACCCTCCCGGAGCAACGATTTGAGCCATTCACCAGCCGGACCACAGGAGGCTCTGCAAAGGAAAGGTAAGGGAGGTGTCACCTCGCGGTGGTGGTAGACCTACACATGGAGAAACCAAGTGTTGGATGTCCCTGAGCCAGCTCTGTGCCCAGGTGGCCAAGAAGGCCAACGGCATCCTGGCCTGCATCAGGAATCGTGTGGCCAGAATGTCAAGGGCTGGGATTGTCCCCCTCTACTCCAGGCTAATGAGGTCACACCTCAATCGCTCTCTTTGGTGCCAGTGGCACCCTGGACTGTATCAGGAATCACTTGGCCTGCAGGACCAGGGCAGAGATTGTCCCCTGCACTCAGCACTGGTGAGGCCACACCTCAAACCCTGCGTTCAGTTTTGGGCCCTTCAGAACAAGAAGGACGTTGAGGTGCTGGAGTGGGTGAAGAGAAGAGCAAAGAAGCTGGGAAAGGGTGTGGAGAACAAGTGTGATGAGGAGCAGCTGAGGGATCTGGACTTGTTCAGCCTGGAGAAGAGGAGGCTGAGGGGAGACCTCACTCTCTACAACTCCCTGACAGGAGACTGTAGTGAGGTCCAGATCAGTCTGTTCAACCAAGTAATAAGTGATTGGACAAGAGGAATTGCTCTCAAGTTGCAGCAGGGGAACTATAGATTGGACAGTAGGAAGAATTTCTTTCCTGAACTGCACTGGAAAGAGTTGCCCAGGGCAGCACAGGAATCCCCATCTCTAGAGAGATTTAAGTGTCAGGCAGACACAGCACATAGGGACATGGTTTAGTTGAGGACGTGCCAGTGTTTGATTAAAGGTTGGACTAATTAGAGTCCTGTCACTATCTGGGCAATGCTGTGATATGTCAGATGAAGGATGAATCCCCACACATTCAGACACTGACTTGACTCAAGAATAAGAGGTTGCAGGATTGCCCTACACAAAGATCCTTGTCACAGAGAAGCACAAAACTGGTCCTGGAGCTCCTGCACTGTGGGAACCTGGGATCTTATTGGCAGAGGAAGAGCAGCTACCTGAGCACACCACACCAGCGTCTTGGCGATGGTTGCAGTCACTCACTCCCCACGGTCTAGCACTGCAGTCGGACAGTGCCAACTCTCTCCCTGTGCAGCTCACATCCTCCAGCCAGATGGAATCATGTCCCTGGCCAAAGCGAGCTGAGCCCAGGGCTGCAATGGCCACCCCACAGCCCCGCTGCTGGCAC